GCTACCCTCTCGCTCACTGGGGTAAACCCCAACGTACAGGCACCGAGATGGGGGGCAATGAGTATGCCCACTCCTGCTCGGCGCCTCTCACCCTGGGCAACGCCAGAGTAGAAGAGCGTCCAACCCCTCTCGAGAAGGCTGGTTCCAGAGCCAGAGCTGTGTGTCGAGGCGAGACCGACGATGTCCAGCCGGAATCTCTCCGCCTCGCACACTAACTCAGGCTCCTTCCCCGCCAGAGAGGTGACGTTCCACGTCCCTAGAGCCAGCTTCTGCAGCCGGGGATCAGTCCGCCAAGATCCCCGACTCCGGCCGCCGCCCAGGGCACACTGCACCCGACCCCTATGGCCCCTCCCACGGGTGGTGGGCCCGTGCGAAGGGGGACCCATGTAACCTTTTCGGGCTGGGCCCGGCCGGGCCCCATGGGTGAAAGCCCGGCCACCAGGCGCTCGCCATGGTGCCCCGCCCCTGGGCCTGGCTCCAGGGGGGGGCCCCGGTAGCCCGCGCCCGGGCGAGGGTACACAAAGTCCAATATTATTCATCTTCATAAGGGTCTTCTGGGCTGCGCTTCGTCTGATCCCTCACCTAGGACCTGTTTGCCTTGGGTGACCCTACCAGGGGCTTGAAGCCCCGGACAACATAGCTCCTAGGATCACTGGGACACTCAAACCCCTCCACCACGATAAGGTGGCAGCCCAGGGAGAGGGGCCATTTTTTTTTTTTTTTTGGCCATAAATGTATAAAAAATAAACAAAATTACAGACAAACACCCATATGCACAATAACACAACCATCACAAAACAGAGTTTCTTTGTAGAATAAAATCTCTTTATGTTTAACAGTTTTTTTTGTCTTTCAATTACTGAACAGTAACCCTGTTTTTGGAGTTTTGGAAGCGGCGCCAGGCCCGGCTGGAGTACGAGTGGGACTTGGTGGACTTTGAAGAGGAGCAGCAGCAGCTTCAGATCCGCCCAGAGTTTGAGATCAGATGCAACAATAGAAGACTCAACAAGATCACACAGGTGCTTTGCAGCCGGCAGTCACTCCAGGCAACAGATTTACAAACCAGTGAATGATTATCCATCTTTCAGGAAATGGAGCCATATCTCCCCATCAGCAGCAAGTGTGCTCGTTTCTGCCTTTCTTCAGCCACCGTTATATTCTGGGTAACTAAAAACTCTTTACGTGTGTGTGTCTGTGTGTGTGTTTGCCACATTCTGTCAAAGGCTACCTGACGTTATGTATGTTCTCTCCACAGATTTCTCTGATTGTGGCCTGTATCATTGGGGTGATAGCCTACAGGTTGGCTGTGTATGCAGCCTTTGCAAGTATCATTAAAGACCCAATGAGAAAGATCCAGTTGGTGGGCAGATTTATCACTCCACAGCTGGCTACTTCGGTCACTGCTTCCTGCATTAACTTTGTCATCATCATGATCCTAAACTTCTTTTATGAGAGGGTGGCCATCTGGATCACTGACATGGGTAAGGAGACACAAAGGCATTTTACATCTGTCATCTAACGTCTAATTCAGCTGTAACATAAAGTCGTCAATGCTGTTTGCCATCCACAGAAATCCCCAAAACTCACCTGGAGTATGAAAACAGGTTGACGATGAAGATGTTTCTGTTCCAGTTTGTCAACTACTACTCCTCCTGCTTCTATGTTGCCTTTTTCAAAGGAAAATTTGTGGGTTATCCTGGTAAATATTCATACATGTTTGGCAGCAAACTGAGGAACGAGGAGGTGAGTTGTATCCTTCACTTCATTGAAACTAAACCCTTCTTAGTTATGCTCTCATACTAATCAGCGATTGATTTTTTTCAAACAAAACATCTACACAGAAAAAAGTAAATAGAAATAGTTGGATAAAACACCAATTAATAGATGCTTACCAGTGGTTCTTCTATGGTTACGGCTCAAACCAGCAACACAACACCCAGTAATACAGTCATTTATTAAACCTGACAGCAGTAGTTCAATGGACCAAAGAAACATGATAGATTTATTTCCTCTGTCTTTTTTAAAATGATAAAACAGGCAAATTAAATGTTGAATATAATCTTGAGTGTCCTCCTGTTCCAGTGTGATCCTGGAGGCTGTCTGATAGAGCTGACCACTCAGCTGGTGATTGTCATGGCTGGGAAGCAGTTATGGGGAAATGTTCAGGAGGCTCTGCTGCCGTGAGTCCAACAAATACTGTTTGAAGCTCATTCGTTCACTGTATGTTCCTCATTCGAACATACATGACAGATCACGTGTGTGGCTTCTGTTGTCATTCTGAAATGATTATCTCTCTGGAAACCCATATTTCTATATTTTTAATAAATTTTTCATGTTAAATGTTCCTTTTTTCCGTCTACTTTTTGTACATGGATGGTCTCACCCTGTAGATTCTAATACTGTTGTGTAGTTATTTCTGATTGACCTGAGACTTACGATCTCAATAGCCCTGTTCTTTGGTATTTAGTCTGTGGTTTGTCAGTTCATGAATGTTGTCATTAATTTGCCTTTCGATAGGTTAATGCGGAACTGGTGGAGTAGCAGAAAGGGAAGGCACAATCCAGAGAACCACTACAGCCGCTGGGAGCAGGACAATGTTCTGCTGAACTTCAGCCAGCTGGGCTTATTCTATGAGTACTTGGAGATGGGTAAGATACTGACCTGGTTAGGCTGTTTGAAATCCAAACACAGATCAGGAAACGTCATCTGACAACTTTCAGGTTACCTTTTCAATCTGGTTTATTCAGTTCTGTTCAGATTGACTTATATAGTGCCAAATCAAAACAAAATAGTCGACATTTCGATAAAACTCTGCAGATTTATTTCCATCCATGTTGCATTAGTTTTTCACCAAGGTCTTGTATTGATAATGGCATTCTGGCAATTGTGCAAAGCACTCTCCTGCATATCCCAAAGATTCTCGATGAGGTTAAGGCCTACACTCTGTCTCGTGCTCCCTGAACTAATGTCTCACAGTTTGAGTCTGATGAATCCTGACTTTGTTATCTTGGAGTATGCCTGTGCTATCAGGGCAGAAAAGGTCGATTGATGGAATAACCTGGTCATTCAGTTTGTGCAAGTCGTCAGCGGACTTCATTCTTTGGGCTCATAATGTTGCTGAACTTTGACCTCACCAACTGTAGACACCACAGCTCAAAGCATGGCATGATGGGTGGCAGTGTTCTTATTTTTCTATCACACATAACCCTGAGTTTTACAGATTTTCTATTATTTGATTTCACTGAAACGTTTAGTGTTTTTTTTATCTTACTCGAAAATTATGCTTCTCCACTTTCCTTTCCAGTGTTTGAGTTGACTGTTTTTTGGAGGTTCTGCAGATGTTTTCTCTGCTTCATGCATTCCAATGATTTGATCCCTCTTAAACAGACTCAAATCTGTCCCACACATCCAGGATGTGTTTTTCCACATGGTTGTGCAACAAAGACTTGGCCAGGCAGTGTAATTCAATTCAGCCCTGTTTCACTTCCTTCCTTCTCACTGGGTGCTTTTTGTCATTTCAGTGATCCAGTTTGGATTCATCACCCTGTTTGTGGCCTCCTTTCCCTTGGCCCCCCTCCTGGCTCTGTTTAACAACATCCTGGAAATCAGGGTAGACGCTTGGAAGTTCACCACCCAGTTCAGGCGACCAGTGGCATCCAAGGCCCGAAACATTGGAGCCTGGCAGGAGATCCTGAATGCAGTGGCCATTTTGTCTGTTGTTACCAATGTGAGTTTTAACTCTGCACTTATTTCCACATCTTTATGTTTGATAAATCTTTGTTTATATGGACAGTACAAATGTATGTTGTTTTCAAAGGAAACTAGGAATCAAGCCAACAGCTACAGGAACCTTTTTTTGTGGTTATTCATTTCCAGGCTTTCATCATGGCCTTCACCTCTGACATGATCCCCCGTATGGTGTATCTGTATGCCTACAGTAAAGAGGCCAGTATGAGGGGTTATGTCAACAACAGCCTGTCAATATACAGCATTTCACAGATGCAGGAGAAGAATATGCCAGAGGATGACTGGCATAACAACACCACGACCAACTGCAGGTATGAAGGGCCTGAGTGCCCTGGATTAGTCTGGATTGGTTTTCTTGTTTTCCTCAAAACAAGTCGCCAAATTAACGAGAGGATAACCAGAGAACAAACTATGTGGTTACCTTCACTTTTGTGAGACTCAATTTTAACAATACTGTGTATTTTAAACAGCTTTGATTTCGAGAAGAAACATTAAAAAACAAGTCAAAATGAGGTCACAAAAATGCCCAAACTACAGACACAACTCACAAGCTGGAAAACCCTGAACCAAGGGCAAAGTTAAAAAACAAGAAACTTACTCACCAGCAGCGGTTTTGTATTTACAAAACCGTTTGATAGGTCAGATTTTAAATCCTAAATTCTTCTGTAGTGCATTTGGGGAGTTTGCGTTTCAGCCTCCCCCTACAAGGCAACAGGTTTTTTACACTTCCACTGCAATCTGTAGTATTCGGGGAGCTGGATAGTTTGGAGCAAAATGAATGTGTATCTACTGCTCCCATATTGCAATTAACGATTGAATTGATAAATTCAAAGCTCTTCTTCTTGTTGTTTTGCAGGTACCGGGACTACCGGTACCCTCCAGGCCATGAGAGAGAATACATGCACACTATGCAGTTCTGGCATATCCTGGCTGCCAAAATGGCCTTCATCATCATCATGGAAGTAAGACATGTTTGTCCCATTCAAAATATAAATGCTGAGAATCAACAGGGATCGGTTATATTTTAACCCTGTGATAATGCTCCTGCAGCATGTGGTCTTCGTGGTGAAGTTCTTCGTGGCGTGGATGATCCCCGACGTGCCGTCTGATGTGAAGCTGCGGATCAAGCGGGAGCGCTACCTGATTCAAGAATACCTCCATAACTATGAGGTGGAGAAGCTTAAACTCCAGCTGAGCGCCAGCTTCATCACAGAGACCAGGTCGGAACTGACCGTGACGCCGGACAGGCATGAAGTGCTGTCCGAGTGCCTGTAGCCTCTCTGACCTCACCCCTGACTCAACATTGGTGGAGCTTCTGTTTGGCTTTGAAATAGAAGCACTATTTCTTCACCATTGAATGGATGAACACTTACCAAGATGTGCTCCTATCAGAGGACTGATTCATGTAGAGAAGAGGTGGGCAACGCTGCTCCTCCAGGGGCTGCTGTGCTGCAGGTTTATGACGTTTACCATCCTCTATACTCTTGACTCTGTTCAAAAATCTATTCAGTGTTAAGTTCTGCACAGCCCTGCCAAAAGTTTCAAAGTTGCAAGACGGCGGCCCATGAGAGCCAGAGTTGCCCACTTGTGATATGGAGGCATTTAAAAAAATAGTGTTTTGCTTAAAAGCAATTTAACAATGGATCTTTATGCCATGCAAAATTAAATTAAAATTTCTGAGAATATCATGTGAAACTTGGTGTCGATACCTAAAAGAGTTTATTGTGCCGCTAATTTGTTTGCATGGAGAGAGTATAAGATGAAGGGCCGATGTATTTATTAAATATATACGTCAGTTATTAAAATGTGATCGGTACTTCATCTGCTAGTACTATGAATGTAAAAAACACTGACATTCAAATGTCTAAATATTTGATGACTCTAGAAGGCTGCACTATATCAATAGTAATACATAATACTGATAAATAGATTTATAGCTTAACTAAAAGATGTATGTAACATTTGCTACTGTTTTTGAGAAGAACTTTTTTTTTTTTTAAAGAAAAGTGTATTTGAAGACTACATACCTCCTTTAGGCTGCAGGAAAATGTGCTCAGCCTCCATAGATTCACATACCTTCCTCTGCATGTGTTACAAGCTTGCTACGGGACCAACTACAAAACTTCAACCAACAAGAGAAGAATAACTGGAGAAGAAGCCAGGCAGATCTGCACAGATCCTGTGTCTCATGCAATCATTTCATCACCTATGCGGATTAGTTAAGGGTGATACTTTATCAGCTTTTATAAGCCGATGCAAAAAAAATTTCTATCTTACGTTTCTTGATTTGTGAATTGTTACAGTCTGCTTCTTGTAAAAACACAGAAAGGAGAGCTTCTGTTCTCAGTGGGATACATGCAATGTGCAGCAATTCCGTGTCATTAAACAGTTTGCACCTCATGCTGGTATTAACGTTTTGCTGTAAATGTAAAGAAAATTCTATTGAAATAGGTTGTATGCAGTTAATTTATTGATTGCTTTCTGCGCTGTAGCTGGATTCTGCTGCGATTACTCTACAATTCTCATTTAAATCTTTCTTGTTCATCACTTTTAAAAAGTGACTCCTGCTTTGTAAATACTCACCAACCAGCGTTTTTAAAAAAGTTTTTACAGTGAGTTTTGTTTGTTAAAAAAAAGACACATTGTTTTTTTCAACGGATGAGATAAGTGGGAAAAATACTACATACTTTGAAGCCAACTAGCAGATGAAGTATGGATCAGACACAGTACATTTGATGATCAGATTTTTGTAGTTATGTTCAAACCTCTGTGTGACTTAACATGTAAATATTACAGCCATTATTCAAGTTATCATCAAGATATCTTTGACAGAAGTAGCTCTACAACTGCCTCACCAAACTCAGGATGGAACACACTCTAATGTTGTGTGAGCATCACTTCTTCCGGTCCGCGTCAGGAGTGTTAGAGCTTTACAGTTTGGTCCTGCGAGGTGCATGGTGACTTTTCCGACAAACCAATGCCTTAATATCTATCTTTACTTGCTTTTTGTATGCTTTTGTAAAGACAGGTTTCCTATCTGATTCCAGAACATTTTTCGTATCACTCTTTGCCGCTGTTTGTGGTTTGCCATAGTACGTGTTCTGTGCATGAACGATTATGATGTAAATGTTTTGTTTCCTTCTGAGTTCACTGTGATCTGTTGGTCAGGAATATAAAACTGATGATATTAACAATAAACAATGAAATAACCTTTTTTTCTGTGTGTTTTTTTATTGGGCTTCTTTGTGCCGCAAGATCTCGGTCCTGCAAAATTAATGAATGTAACTGTTTGCACATCATTTGACCTGTAATATGTTAATTGTGTTCTATCCAAAACTTAATTAACAAAGAGGATTACACTTGAAGCTTTCGGTAAGAGCAACCCCTCATTGGGGCTTTTTTAAGGTCCAGGGACACATCATGTATAACTTGCAAAGTTGATTTTCAAGAAACTGTCACTGTAGTCCATTCTAAAGTTAACCTATATGAGGTGGCAAGGTTTCTGGGTATTGCTTATACTTATTTCATCACTGAATTAAGAGTTAGATCTCTCATTATTGGAAAAAGTCATGACCTACATTCGCTGATGTTTGTTTTCAGACACACTCAGGAGTCTATGCAGCAATGTCTAACTTGTCTGCTCCTACAGGGCTGAAGATGCAATCTATTCTGCTGAACGACCCACACCTTTAACTTTGTTATGGCGTTCTGGAACATGAACTCAAACGATTTACAATTGTAATAGCTATCATTCCCATTTTTGATGTGGGAATATTCAAATACTACCAGAAACTTTTCATATGGGGTGAATATAGCAGAGAGGTTTCATACATATTCTTAAAGGTGTTCAACCTTAACAGGACATGCTGTTGACAAAAAAAAATCAGACAAGAACCCATTTTCCAAGTCATGATCACAGTATTTAATCTTGAGTAATCCCATCCTATTCTATTTTTCCTCATCGCACTCAATACTCTGGAGAACTGGGAACACAACACTCACTATAAAGTCTATTTTAAGTATCTATGTGCAAGGATTTGCAAATTAAAACAGGACTGACCTCCAAGCCAATCCTTCGTTTATCTTCAGATCACATTTAAAAGAGAACATCATGAATGAATCTGTTCAAAAAAGAAAACAAGTGGGAGCCAGTTCACCCCCCCCCCAAGAAACTGATGTACAAATCATGTACGGAAATTTCAAATGAATACTTAAAACATGTAGTTATAATCACACAACAAATAAAAATGAAAAAACTGATGTGCAAGATTTTTGCTTTCAGCCACCAGGTGGCAACCAATACCCACGAATGAAAGGAAGGCTGCAATCCTCTGCTTCTCCGGGATTAACTCTTTAAAAGTTGGTATTGTGCTAATTATCATTACAATTATCATCATTATGAGAAATACCATAATTAATATTATTAGTAATATGATTGCTGTTGTTACATACTCTATGTAGGCTTCTATAAAAGTCATCTGAAGGCTTTCCATTTAAATTTACATTCAAAAATTTTAATCTCAAAAATTGGAATAAAAATAATAATTATGATGCTTTCAACATTTTATTCATGCTTCCAAGGGAAGATGTGGTTGTCAGGGGGACGGGAGCAAGGAAGATGCTTAAATTATTGATGAATTCCTACGTTGGGGAGAGAAGCCTGCTGGAGAAAGGGAGGGTGGGGGGTCCACTCCAGCTCATTTGGTTTCCATAGCACCGCCCTCAGGAGAGATGCAGCTTTCATTTCTGTGCTTTACTGTCTTGTTTTTTTTTTTTTTTCCAGATATGACTCTAATCAGGTCATTAAAACACAATATAAACCCAATCGAAGCAGCCTCATGACACCTCACATTAGTTAGGGCTATACAGAATAAGCGAAGGATTTATCAGGATTTATCAGACTCTCCACACTCCAGGGTTTTATTTACAGACAGAAACAGAATCACATGCATTTCATAAAGCATGCATTTTGACTCTGGCATTCATTTGCGCTGAGCAGCTGGCCAGATGTTGGACTCGGAGCTGCTGTCGCTGACCTCGGTGCTGAAAAACGACGTCAGATGAACCTGCGCTCGCCACAGGAGACACGATCCAGCCTCACTCCCTCTTTGATTTATTGAAGCCACTCCAAACCCCTACTTTGACTTCCTGTCCTCTGACGTTTTTTCTTTTGGCATTTTTCTGATGCATTAGCTCCCCCTTTTGCGCTCAATTTAAACATTTTCTCTCATTTACTCAGGTTGTTTTACGACGCTGGCTCTCAGTTTCCCTCGTTTTCGTCGTGATGGCACTTGGCGCGGCCACTGTACGCCAGGCAGGAGATTAGCCGGAGGTGGATGAAGGCGCACAGCTCGTTCCAACCCCCGTTCTTTTTCGCGTTTTCCACCCCGGGAAGGAAGATTAGACTCGTCTCGTGGAACCGTCGCCTCCCAGGGCTTCACTCAGAGACCCCCCCCCCTAACTTCTTTCGTTGGTTTCCTGGTATAGTGGCTGCAGTCGGCCATCCTGCGCTGTAACATGACGCTCAGGCAGTAGAGTCATTTGTAGAAAAAAAAAAACAACAACCCCAACATACAGAAACTGGATATGGAGTCCATGAAAACGAAAGCCACGGCCGGGGTCAAAGAATTTGCGGGGAAGACCCTGGGTCATATGTACAGGTAAGGGCAGACATTTGCGTGTGTGTTTGTGTGTGTGTGTGTGATTTGTCTGGTGATGAAACAGAATGGTGATTAATAACTGGGTGGCATTTTTTGTTCTTTCGTTCACTCTTTTTTTTGGCTCTTTAACAAGACATGAGCTTGCGTCCACGGTCCACTTAAAGCTCTTTAAAACTGACAAGGGGGGTGGAGGGGTAGGGGGGGATCTCTGGTCACGCCTCTAGAACGAGAACAAAAATTATGCAATCAGACGTGCGTGCCTGTGTGTGTGTGCGCGCACTGAGAGGAGATTCGGATGCCGGTGGACCCTGATGCTGGGGCCTGCTCGTGAATCTTATTGGCAGGCTGGGTGCAGGCCACGCGCAGATTGGTTTTGGGGGTGGATTTCATTCACAGTTTTTTTAAAGCATATTTACCATTATGCCCGACACACCTGTGGCCTGTCATCTATATCACGTTTAAAGTTGCCTTTTTAAAATATAATTGGCCTGGTTGACTTCATGTGCAAATGAATAAATTCCTTCCTTTTTTAGACCCCAGCTAAATCTGAACCATGCATGTTCCCCTGGATATATTGGGCATGTGTGTAGGTAATAGAAAATATAGGCGTTCAGTATCAGGAGATGATGCTTTTTATTTATTTATTGAGGCCTTTGATTTCTATGAAGGTCATTTAAAAAGACACTTTTAATTTTTATTCATTTGCTTTCTGTTTCGGCCAATAAGATTTTTTTCACGTAAGAACATTTATTGACATGCTTATATTTCATCTTCGTTTTGTATGGGAAATTAAAACGACAGACGAAGATGCTCAGGCAATCGTGACTTTCCTGGAAGGAGAAAAAAAAAAAGCAGAGGATTTTGGGGAAAGCCCACAGACAGGGTGTCTGCAGGCTGGAGCTGCTGTTGTGTCCCTGAATGCTAATGAGTGTGAAAGTAAAGCGGGCTGCTGCAATGCGGTACAGTCGGGAACATGTTGGTCTGGTTTCAGCTCCACGCCAGGCATTGTCTTTACCGTGATGTGGTTTTCTTTACAGCCATTCCAGGAAAACGTGCAGCTTTTTTCCATCCACTCGATCCAACCCCTAAAATCTGACTGCCTTCAATTAGACAGAAGGAAAATAACATTATTTGAAATGCAGCTCTCACCAATCGCACTGATCTTTATTAATGATAAATAACTTAGTCGTGCATTGTTTACTCGACAATACATCTGGGATAGACACATGATTCAATATGTATGGAAGCAGCAGCCCCTTCGTGCTGAAAGCAAATAGAATGGCCTTTTCTGTGAATATGATGGTATTCATAAATACAGTAGTTTAACTGATTTCTATTATTTTGGTTCATCTCGTGACGTTGATATCAGAAGGGGCTCAGTACACCGTGTTTCCCCCATTGCAGGGTGATAGAGAGGAAGCAGAAAACCGGGGATGTGATCGAGCTGACGGAGGACGGGCGGCCTAAGGAGGCCGCAGAGAAGAAGCCCCCCCTGTGCGACTGCAGGTGCTTCGGTTTGCCCCGCCGCTACATCATCGCCATCATGAGCGGCCTGGGCTTCTGCATCTCCTTCGGCATCCGGTGTAACCTGGGCGTGGCCATAGTGGGCATGGTCAACAACAGCACCATCCACCAGAACGGAAAGATCATCATCAAAGAGGTGTGGTCGAGGGCACAGGAGCAGCTTCACCCACACAAAAATCCAATAAAGTGGTCTGAGTTAATATCTCAGGAAAAAAGCTTGCTGTTTTATCATCAAAAACTGGGATAAAAGACAGAAAGGCCTTATTTTTTCCACATTGAGGCCTGTTGCTGTAATTCTACACCACATTACAGCCAAAGAAAACCCCCTCATTCTGAAGTGATTCCTATAATCTATCATGAAAGATATGCCAAAGAGTGACCTAATATAAGAAGTGCTCGATTCACAAACAAATGTAGACATGATCATGTTTCTTTGGTGAGCACTCATTGTCTCTTTCCATTGAGCATATGATACAAATGCTAAGACTCCACATTAAATATGCATGACTGGATATTTACTCTATCATTTATACCACCAGAGCTCAATGGCTTCCTGCTACCTATCGATGTGACTGCAAAAATAAATACATTTTTTGCACAAAAAAACATAAAACACACATAGCCTACATATTATGTATAACCTTAGAAATAATATATTTTCCATATAATATTGATATATTAGAACAAGGGTACAAGGAGTGAATATGTTATTTTTTCTGTTTTTGTGTCAAAGCAAAAGAAAAAGAAAAAAAGACAATCATCCTTTTACACACATATAGCTACAAGGCCTTTTTGCTTTTCTCAGATATTTATTCTTAGCTTTAGATTAGCCCTATCAGATACATATTATTTTGGAGTGACGTACAGGTTGTGCTTTAATTATCTATATGTATAAACTAATCGAAATTAAACGTTTTGATGCATTTTACAGTCCCTTCCCAGAATCAATTAATCTTACCACAGCAGGTTTAAAATCGTTCACTTTTTCCAATCAGTCTTCTCCTGCTCGTTTCATTGTCTAGAAAGCCAAGTTCAACTGGGACCCGGAAACGGTGGGGCTGATCCACGGATCGTTTTTCTGGGGCTACATCGTGACGCAAATCCCGGGAGGATACATTTGCTCGAGGCTGGCAGCAAACAGGTACACTCCGGGGCAATTTACGACACATTTGGTACGTGAAGCATCAAGAATTTTAACAACCGTTGGTATATTAAACGACATGACAGCAATAGGCGTTCCCCTCGTTTCATTGTATGTAGGCCTAACCTTCTTTGTTTTTTTTTATTTCGTTTACTGGTGCACGTGGGGCTTGCAGTGAATTAATTAATAGGATGATGCAAGGGGGGCAAAAAACAAAGCAAAACCAACCTCTAGAAGAGGAGATTGAATTGGACCGTGAAATGGATGAGCAGTTCACAGCTATGAGCAGAGTCGGTGGGGGGGGGGGCTGGCAGGCCGTGTCAGGGCTTACTGCCACCTGTTAATGAGCTCCCCGGGGGGATCCGGGTTTAATCCTGCAGCTCCCTCCGGGCACGGACACCAGACCCGGTCTGGTCGCCCAAGGCTTCCATGCTCCGGAGCTGCAGGCAGCGACTCGGTTTTTGTCCTTTGTCTGCGTCCTGCTGAACACACTCGGCTGTTAACGATTGCATGACAATGCACATTTTAAGAGTTTAATTTTGACACGTTTTTTTAGGCCTACTACTATCTGCCTAAAAAGAGCAAACAAAAGCAGAGCAAGCTCAATATCTGAGGCCTCTTCACTGAATAGCCAGACATAATTTTAACAATGTTTTGTTTTTTTTGCTTAAAAGGGTAAAAAGAATATGTTGAAAATGTACCTCAATGGATAAAAACACCAACCAGTTACAAAAACTACCTCAAAACTATCCATGAAAACCCTTTTTTTTTAATTGTAGGCCTTACTAATTTCATGGAGCCATTCTGGGCTTCATCCATGTTGATTGACACCAGGATGTAATCGAATCATCTGGTCTCGTGCCCAACAGTAGTCTCCACCGGATTAGGGTTTGCCCCCCACGTGCGAATGAGAGGGGTGGGAGGATGTGCCAGAAATGAGAAATGGCTCGGTGTTTATGGCCTTGGCTCGCAGGCGCTCAGCTTCTCCCTTCCAGTTAAACAAGATATCAACCAAAATATGTTGAAATTAGTTTTGGAGTAAACCTCCATTTATACGGCTCTTCTGTTGACCGTAAGAACGCACTATTGCCAGGCTAATTAAAAAAATTAGCAGAGAAAAAAAGGCTACTTTTGCTTCCTTCCCTTCAGATAATTCGTCATTCAGATTTAAACAGTTAGAAGGCGCCGCTGTTGCTCAAATAACGAACCGTGAATCGTATTTTTTCCCCTTATGGGCATTGTGAGTTTAAAAATTTCAGCCCACTCTTGATGAAACACAAATTTCTTCGGCAGCACACAACTGAGGGCGGTTGCTAAGCGACACAGACGTACGGAGGTGACTGTTAATGGGGCGTTGCTGCTCGAAATATTTATATGACGACAAAGAAGCGCGTGCATTGCAGGGCCAATCATATCCGAGGACACGCACGCACCGCACGTGCTCCTGTTAGAGGGAACGATTTCACATTTTTTCCTAATAGAATGGCATATAAAATTAACAGACTTTTTTCCCCCCCATTGGAAATTGAATCAAAAGGCCCCTTGCTAATATCTTGATTTATGTTTGTATTAATATATACATCTTCCTAAAACCCTCCAGAAGAACAAGTTTAGAACTATTGAGATATTTTTAAGGTAGCGATTTTTGTAACTAATTCCTAATATTATTAACAATGTTTTCAGGGTGTTTGGTGCAGCCATTGTCCTCACCTCCACTCTCAACATGTTCATTCCTTCGGCTGCCAGAGTCCACTATGGGTGTGTCATTTTTGTTCGGATATTACAAGGACTAGTTGAGGTAAGAGCAACAACATGTGTGTTTGAGCATTTTAAATACTCTGTTAAACAGTGAAATATTTAACTTATTTATTGGATACAAATCAGCACAAAAACTATTCCTACCATCATTGTGGCATGAACATCCTGCAAAACCTCCTCCAACAAAAAACAAAGGCTGTAACATGAGTTTTACTTCAACCAGAGGAAATGTGAGATGAGCTGTATTGATCCAATTCACTACAGTTAGATTTTGTAGGGCAATCGCGTTCATTTTCTACCATCATGCTTTGTATCCTGGATACACAGCAGACTGCTCCTGAAGGGATGGATGGGAGGGGAAACAGTGATGTAATGCACATCAGTGCTCTTGTTTCATAATGAAACACAACACCGAGAAATAAGCCAGCCGTGTGACACATCATGGCATGTTGATTAGATTTGTAGATTGTTAAAAAAACAACACTGGAAGCTGATTTTAGAATTCAAAGAGGTGATGATATGAATGATATGTACATTTTAGGCTAATACAATGCTTTAATAAAGATTTAAAAACACAAAATGGAAAAATATATTTCACAAGACCAGAATTAATCAAGTCAACATGGTGAGAGAGAATTGTATTTCAGTCTAATATCATTGCTCTACTGCTGTCAGAAACCGCATGCAAATTGGATTCCACATCAGCAAGCCGGCATAAATTAGTTGCTGATGAACATTTAATATCTGTGTGCAGCTCATCAGGTCCTCAGTTTGTTCATCCCAATTACCGGGTTGAAAATGTTAATTCTTTTGTTAGTTATTGTTTAAATTATGTGCTTTCTTCGATTTATACCTGGAAGCTCATTCCAGTTATGTTGTGAGTGAATCCTGAGCTTAAATGATACTGAAATGTAATGTGAAAGTAATGCATGATGAAGATGTTATTGAAAGTCTTAAGTACTGCAACAACGATGCCAATACAGGGCAAAAATAAATAAGGCCTGTGCTTGAGCTCGGGCCTCAAATTGAACGCACTAATTTTGTCTCCAAAATAAGGAATGTTACTGATACAGACTGCTCCTGTCCGGCTCATTTAGGGGGTGACCTACCCTGCCTGTCACGGTATCTGGAGCAAGTGGGCCCCGCCGCTGGAGAGGAGCCGTTTGGCGACCATCTCGTTCTGTGGTAAATCCTTATTTTACAACTTCTGCTATCAGCTTTTCAAAATGGGCTACAGAGGCGTTGCGTGTCTAATCTCCGGCATGCTGTCTGCCAGGCTCTTATGCCGGTGCTGTGATTGCAATGCCTATGGCTGGGATCCTGGTGCAGTATTCGGGATGGTCCTCAGTGTTCTACGTCTATGGTAAGTCGGACTTATAATAGCCTACATGTGATGACAGTGGACGTTCTAGCAGGAAATGGTACATTGAAAATAAAAAATATGTAAGTACAAGGACTGAATGTGTGAAGGTGTTGCAAAGCTTGGTTAAACCTTAAGAGTTTGACACCTAGAGAGTCCAGTGAAAGTCAAATGGATTTATCCGGGCAGACAGCATATTGATTTCCTCCCCCGTTGTTTTGGTGTGTCAATAAATACACCCCCAACCCATTTTTCCCTCTAGACTGGATACAGTTAGATTTCCTGTCTGGGTTTTGCTCTGGCGAGCATTTTGGTAGAGACTTTCACTGAATGCTCATTTCTGACGTCAATATCTCTGCAACATTTCATCTGTAATTAAACACGATTTGGATTTATCTCTGTCTGTCATCTGCAGGATGCGTTGGCATTTTCTGGTACATGTTCTGGATCCTGGTGTCTTACGAGAGCCCTGCTGAGCATCCGTCCATCACAGATGAGGAACGCTGCTACATTGAAGAAAGCATTGGAGAGAGTGCCCAGCTAATGGGTCCTTTAGAGGTGAGCATGCCCCTTCCCGACAATAAAACATTACAGCGGCCCACCAAGTATTATTTATCAGCCTCTTTTCGTTCTGAATACAAACTGTAATTATCTTTTTTATTGATCAAAATCTATTCCAGAAATTCAAAACTCCCTGGAGGAAATTCTTCACTTCTATGCCCGTCTATGCAATCATTGTGGCAAACTTCTGCAGGAGCTGGACGTTTTACCTGCTGCTGATCAGCCAGCCTGCATACTTTGAAGAAGTGTTTGGCTTTGAGATAAGCAAGGTGAGCTTTCAGCATTAGCCTTGTAATAAGTTCCAAAATGCAATATTAACTCAACATTGGAACATCGGATGAAGAAACTAAACTGAGCTTGTGACAGTAAAAAAAAAAAAAAAGGTTGGTGCGACTGGTGGCCACAAGTCCATCAAAAGGAAACGATTCCTTGCTCAAAAAGCATAAAATCAATTGTCAAGTGTCGTGTGTAACTCTCATCACTGGTGAGACAGGAGGCCTTAAGATTCACTTTAGGTATTTTGAGAAAATTAAACAACTTTTTGGCATTAATCAAATGTAGTTTAGTAGCTAAGTGGGGAACATCACTGCGTTAGTGGGACATTTGTTAACTGCAAGGTTTTCTTAAGAGTTTTTTCTTAAAACTCCACCCATTACATGTGATTGCAGCCCAGAGTTTAATCATTCAAAGATGCTAATCTCAATGATGCAAAACGTTGTTCCCATCAACATACACATCTAGAAATTCGTCTGATTGATTTCCCGTATGTGTTTGCAGGTTGGCATACTGTCTGCCCTCCCCCACTTGGTGATGACCATCATTGTGCCTATTGGCGGCCAGCTGGCCGACTATCTGCGCAGCAGGAACATTCTGACAACCACCACTGTCAGGAAAATCATGAACTGTGGAGGTGAGAATTCTCTCTGCACAGCTTTGGGGTGTTACTTCCAGGGTGTCAGATCCACGCCGTCGGCCTTTTTTTCAGGCTGCTCCTCACCACCAGATGGGTCTGAAAGATGGTTTTGTTTATGTTTTTGTATAAATCTATTTGTTTCAACGCTTCAGTACACAAGTTGACTCACTGTTTGCGACTGTGTATTGATTTCATATCTGTCACTTACGTAATTGAGTACAGAGCATGTATCATGCTTAATTCAATTGGCATCACATTGACCACCGGCCCGTGGGCTTTCTGTGTGTGCATGCGTCTGACCTGCTGTCTCTCCCTTCTAGGATTTGGCATGGAGGCCACATTGCTGCTGGTGGTCGGATATTCCCACAGTAAAGGGGTTGCAATCTCCTTCCTTGTCCTGGCAGTGGGCTTTAGTGGATTTGCTATATCAGGTCAGTTACACATTTTCAATTAATCTAGAACAATGCATCTCTAGATACAAATATTAATATTATCGCCTATATTTAAAACAGTCGCAATTATCTTGCAGCTTTCCTGAATTTAATATTTGGTGTGGGACTTGTAGGTACAATTTATATGACAGAGGTATGATTTTTCCTGGCATAGTCCGGAAGCTGTGCAAATTTTTTACCTGAAAATCTTTATTTGTTTAGCCGCTAATTCAACAGATCACATCATGCTTACACTCAGCTTCAGCATGCAAAGGTCTGTGACTGTTTAAAATCAGTTCCTTGTCTGGTGCTATTAAGCTCTCTCCCAGAGTGTTTAATAATTCAGTGTTCGCTGTCTCGGGGGGTATGGCAGGCAAGGCAATGTGCAGCGGTTCATGAGGACACTTTGTCATTCAGCCAGTCAGAGTGGGGGGAGGAGGAGGATGTGTGGTGACTTGATTCCTACGTCCACAGCAAAATGGTCACAACTTATGCTGCTTTAATCAGCTGTGCCCTGCTTCAGTTGTCGTTTTACTTGCCACATATCTGGCTTTCTGGGTCTCTGTCTCAAAAAACGTCAGCAGCATGCTGACTTCATGTTTCATTTTATCTGTCAGGGTTTAATGTCAACCACCTGGATATTGCTCCTCGTTATGCCAGCATCCTCATGGGCATCTCTAATGGTGTCGGTACCCTATCTGGAATGGTGTGCCCCCTGATTGTTGGTGCGATGACCAAGAACAAGGTAATGACTTAAACATCACACAGTGAACATGTGCAACAAACCTCAATTTCCAGGCACAAGCAAGAGGTCCCAAAGGAGGCCCGGAAGTGGCCAGAACTACTTTTCTTTAGGGTTCCCATTTAACCATTTAATATGCATTATGTACAATGTTTGCATTTTTGATAAGTGGGGGTTTATTTTTTGAAAGTAAAAAAATTACATGTAAAATTTTTGTAAACAGGAAAGAAAAATGAAAAGACTGTTTTTGTCTGTGTAAATATTTTTAGAATTTAAATAAATAATACAAAATGTCAGAGCCTTCAAATATGGTTCAAGTTGAGATCCTCAAAACACATACAGTAAAAGCTAAATTTCCTCAATGCCAATATCAGCTCAAAAATACCACCTTGAGATAAATCTTCACATTGAGACAATATCTTCGATGAAAGATCAGTAAAAATGTGTCTGATTAGGCTAATACCCGCAATTTGATGAAAAATACACTTAAATCCACTGTAGTCAAAAGCATTAGACATGTAAATGTATATTTCAAGTGCCTTTTCCCTTGTAATTCTTTTATGGAGTAATAATAAAGCACAAACTATTTAAAATGAAAGCCCAATGGTCTTTGGCTAAGCCAGAGAGACTGGGGATTTTAGTTTGGTGTTGGGCATTTGGACTGTTGCCATGTGAGCTGCAGAGGGCCAAGTGAATCTAACTGAGAACCCACAGACACAGGGCTTGTCCATATGGTATTGTCTGGATAAGTACACCTTGTAAAGCCCTGATCATTGTCTCTTGTCTCCAGTGGCACCACATCTAATAAAAATGAACATCATCATGTGTTGGCAAATACTTCAAACTTCAAACTCATTGAGAAAGCTCATAGATAAAAAAAAAGAAATCGTGAGAAATAATCCCTGAGCCTTTATTTTCTTAAAAGAAAAGATTATAGGCAACACAGACTACAGCACATATATCACTCATAGGAACCCCAAAAAAATAATGAATGATGAATTTTTCTTTTGCTTTTTCAGTCTCGAGAGGAGTGGCAGTACGTGTTCCTGATAGCCTCTATGGTGCATTATGGGGGCGTGATCTTCTACGGGATCTTCGCATCAGGAGAAAAGCAGCCTTGGGCCGACCCAGAACTGACCAGCGAGGAAAAATGCGGGTTCATCGATGAAGACGAGCTGGCAGAAGAGACCGGCGACATCACTCAGAGTTACGGTGCTTTTGGCGCACCGGCCAAAACGTACGGCACGACCACACAGGTGAATGGAGGCTGGGCCGCCAATTGGGAGAAGACAGAGGAATATGTCCAGGAAGAAGCGCAGGGAGGAGGCTACGGATACAGGCAGGATGAGGGGTACTCTTAGACCAAACGCGCAGTCACCGACACACTAGCAGACTCATTTTGCAGAGTGTGCATCAGTTTTAGTCCTAAGAACAAACGAGAAACAAGAAAAGCTACAATCTATTGTCGTATTGTTTGCACAAATTAAAAAAAAAAAATCTAAAAAGTTATCAACTAAATGTAAAACATATTTAAAAATCAAAGATATTTGATGAATAGAGGTGTAGCACATATCAAATTGGCAGTCTGTAAATGTACTATTATGCATATTGAAATAGATATATTTATTTGGAGTGCAGTTGTGCGTAAACGTGAACATTATCATCCCATCAGCAGAGGCTTCTCGGCCAAACTGAAGCCTGTAGAAGCTGAATCCGAACTGACCCCTCATGTGTGGGTTCTACTGTTACAGTACGACGTCCAGCGTGCCAGCCATTTCAGCGTATAGATATGTCACCGCGGAGCACAGTAAACAGAAACTAGACACCTTGTTATAGATTGTACTATGTCATTCCTTAATGCACTCACTCTAGCGTGTGCTTTCAATGCACAACACAATTCCTTTTTTTGTTTTCATGCCACCGGCTTCTGTCTGAATATGTAAAGTCCTGAGCATTTAAGTGACCTAGCGTAGAGAATTGACGAGTGGCACATTGACTTGTGGTGATCGTTTGGTTACACGTGTGTTGCAAAGGGGTACATGAACATATTTTTTTCATAACTTGAGCACATCTGCAGTTCAGTTTTTGGGTTTAGCCACTCATCACATTTTGCAGTATATTCCTGTTAGGGTCAACAATACTTTAAAGCCGCCACAGTCTAATTGCTTGGGTGGGTTCTTAGGTGAAACATATATGATAGAAATATACAGAGAAAAATATATATGAGATTAAATTTAGACCACAATGTTTATGGTCATAATTGGCCTTAAAGAGAGCATGTGCAATGCAAAAACTGTGGGAATTAACCAAAACCAGTATGAGTCTTAATATTATAGAGCTGAAAAAAGTATATTGTTTAGTGTGACGAAAAGAAGAACTAAATACAACGGGGTTAGAAAGACATTTTAACATATGAAAAGATGTGTGCGTAAATTCAGTGCATATAGTCAAAACTTCTTAAAGAAAAAAAGTATTTCTCTGCTAAATCAAAGGTTTTACACTCACTCAGATAATCTGTGTCATTATGATCCTGTAGTCTGATCCCTGGAGAGCTCAAAGCACTGGTCCTAAGCAGCATGCACCATAGCACATTTCACATGTCATTTTCAGTGTTATGTTTAATAGGGTTAGAGAAAAAAGCTTCAGGCTGAGCTTTTTCACCAACACTTACTGAAAATGACATGCAAAGAAAAAAGTTTTTGATGGCACTTCATGAGTTCATGCTGTTTAAAAAGATTTGATGGATAGATCTGAGAGACAGAACAATCCGCCATGCATCATCTTCTAGAAATGTTGATGACTGGTTCACTTAAGTGCTTTATCTCAGCTTTTCCCATCTGAAGGCTGCCTATTTCCAACTGGTGTGAAGAGCATCAGGAGAAATTGATTACAAACTGAGAATATATTTCTTCTGATCTTTTGAAAATGAAAGAGGATTATTTAAAGAGAGAAACGCCATTAAAGAAGTTGTGAACATTCACAATTAAGTATTCGACATTTGTTTACACATTGCTATACTTTGCATAAAATTCACCCAAACGAAAAACTTACAGCCATTGATTGTTACAAAGAAACCGTGGAACTGTTTGTGCTTTCAGCTTCAAAATGGAATCACGATAAAATGTAATGAACTGCCTTTACCTGTAAAAGTCTGGGGATGAAGGTGTTTTAGTCCTGCCTAAAATGAACACAAAACTCAGCAACAAGGTCTGAAGGGGGCCAGTTTTTATTTATCTTTTCTGTTGAGACCTCATGTCAGCTCTTCACAATGTAGATGTGTGTGGGTGTGTATTTATGCATGGAACAAAGTGAAATGTGTAGTATTTGTCCTTTTCTTTAAGGTTTTTTATTTTTATTTGAACGTTCCCGTCTTCGTCTCAGAAACTGTTACTGATGCTTAAATTTCTTTGCACAATTAACCAAAGGTGAAAAGCAGAGCCGGTTTTTAGCTGGAGCCCCAATATTTCAAGGTAGAACAATCCATCGGCAGCGAGGTGCCAACAAGAGGCACCAGAGCGGTGCACGTGGCACCAACCATTACTCAGTGTACAAAGCAATAAATCCATAGTAACAGTTCTGGTCAAACTTCATGAGAACAGTCATTGCGTTACTGTTTTTTTTATGCATTTGTTTTAAAGTCGTGTTTTTGTGATATCAAATATAGAAAATGAACTGTCTTAAATAAAAGAAAAACATATATGTATAAAAATATAGTAATAGAGTCCAACGCAAACATCTCTGACAACTAAAAAAAAGTCAGGAGTTTGTGACCGGGCTGCTCACCAGATGAGAATGATAAAAGAGCTCTGCCTGAGAAGCGGTCGCTCTCCTTCATGTTTCTGTTTTTGTTTTGGTGTGGTCCACACTGACTGTGTGTTGTTATTTCCCCCTGTCTCTCTCCTCCTTCTGCATTTAGCTGTATTTGTGTCTTTGATTCAGTGGCTGGACCCCCATTGCTCTCCTTGACCACACGTACCTCCTCCTCCCCCCTGTACAGCCTTTCACTGTCACAATATTCATTAACATTTCGGACGAAATCTAAACGTGCGATTTGAAAAATGACAAATGTGCAACCTGAAGTAGTGAGAAGTTTTTCCTGTTTTTGTGCCTCTGAAGTTAAAGTGTGATTCTATGGCTTACGTTGCTGTGTAAATTGAGAGGTTTGTTGATGTCAAAAAGAAATACTCTATATCCTTTTTTGATATTAAAAAAGTAAACAAATCAGTGTTTGTTCTGAGTATTTGGACTGACATGTGCATACATGCAGAAGGTCATTATTGCCCATTTGTTTCACCAACCTTTTGCCTCCTTATTTTAGTCTTAAATTTTCCTGCGAGCTGCTAAATGCTCCACTAAATATTTCAGAACCAAAAAGGGTTATAGATAACCACATAATCATTAGCAGTGGTTCAACAGAACTGCATGAACGCATTTAAGGAGCAACAATTAGCCAGATTCAATTATTCCTGAAAATAGAAAAAGACATTAGACCTCATTATTTTTTCATTAAGGGTGACAAAAAAGACCAAAAAGTCAAAAGTGAGCCTTAGGAAATCCAAACATACTGAGGCTTTTACAGAGAATATTGCCATGTGCAAATCCAGAATAAACTAAACATATCAAATATAGACACTAATATATAAAAGTATCTAGTCATTAGTAAAAAAGTCAGGTAGGAACGTCATCAATGTGAGTTTTAGTGAGATGAGTTCCACCAAGGCCACAGGAAGTGCGCAGTTTATGGCTGTCCTCCTTCCCCCTCTGTGAAATCAATAGGGCCTGTCCCCAGAGTTTGGCTGGTCCTATTGACTGTTCTAACCTCTTAATGGAGATGAGAGGGAGGAAGAGCACTTACCGAGCCATTTGGAGGTGTTATTTTGACTCCTACGTTCACCCACAAATCTTCAGTCCTGTTGGATCATGAAATAAAGTGACAAAAGCCTGAGTTCAGATGCAGTGTCCTTATGTCTGTTATTCGAATGTCTCATTATGATAAACATCCCACCTGTACATATAACTGACATTGGAAGACATATTTCAGGTTTACGATAGATCAGTTTGATGGATGGATGAGGTGTTATGTGACCTGAGAAACAAAGACACAACACAACAACAAAAGCTACGACACAACAACAGCTACAACACATAAATGTCCCAGAATGCACAGGTGCACAGATAAAGATAAAAAACATAGGTGGGAGTTCTTTTTCTTCTACGACATGGTAAGTTCTCGCTGCCACCAACTAGCTAAACTTTAGGATAACTTTTTTAGATAACTCTTTTGTTTGTTTTGCTGTTGTGTTGTGGCTTTTGCTGTGTTGCGGCTTTTTGTTTCAAGGGCTCACTATCAGTGTCAAATCAAAAAAGAACAATGCAGAAGAGTTTGACGGTATAAACCAGTCTTCATAGGACAGAACTCTTGTCTAAACCCATCCCGGTGTAATACGCACAGACATCTCATTCAGGGACACAATGACTTTTCCAAATGTAAATATTGCAATAGTTTCCCCTTAGAAATTAAATGTATTAGTTTAATTGCAGATTCTTTGTCTAAAGATGATTTTGTAAGTGCTGTGATTGTATCATTCCTTTATAGTCCTGAAGATGTGGCGTACTATACATTCCTCTAAATGTGTCACTTGTAAAGACCAGTTTAAGAAATCAGTCTCACAAGTTAGCATCAGCATCAGCATCAGATTTTTCAATGTTGCCAGTGTTTCTCATCTCTATTGCTTCAACGATGTTGCTGTGACACGAGTTCAAATGCTGGCCCAATGAAGAAGATCTACGTAAAAGTATGGTCCCACATGTAAAGTCGACTCATGGTCAAGTCTGTTTCACACTTTTTGTAGCATGTGTATTGCTTCCTTTTATCACTGATTTGTATTTGTGGAGTAACTCTGAATGGCAGCAGTCTGCATCACAGAAGTCAGATCCCTCTTTCACTCCAGACAATACTGACGTCAAACAGTTCGCATGAGCTCTAAAAGACAAGGTGACTCAGAGAACAGCGTTTGATTGATGCTCAACTTCTGAATCAGGTCATATCAAAAACAAGCTCCCCATATGTGTCCATCTGTGTGTCTGTGTGTGTGTGTGTGTGTGTGTGTGTGTCTGTGTGTGTGTGTGTGTGTTTACTTAGAATCACATCCTGGCACAGTTCACCGCTTTCATTAATTTGACAAGCTCAATAAATGTGTCACCAGTCAGCCCTAAATAGGTGTTTTCTCACAGTTAACCAGCCCGAACCATTACCTTGTCCCAGTACAAGTGGGGGAGGTGACCCGTGACCCTTTGCGACCATCAATCCACATTTGTTGAAAAAAAGAGAAGACAGAAAAAACTTGCCACAGCTGTTCAAAACAACAAGGCTCAAAATGAAACAGAGGACGGAGGAACCTCAAGGTGACGGCAACCTGTCTGTCTGCATTCTAATGTGTGCGCAGGCACGTCATCGAGCGGCCTCAAACGTGTTCGTTTGCATCATTTATGCACACACAGCACAGGGGGCACGCGTCGGTGAGAGAGTGAACGTTAAACTGAGAGAATGAGTCCGCATATGTTCACCATCTTAAATGGCTGTTCAAGTGTGGGTGGGAGGCAGGTGCTGCCACAGCCTGAAGGGAGGGAGAAAAGGGGGGAGCAAGGGGGAGTGGAAGTTGATGCCAAAATCGCTCTTTAATGACTCGGGGTGGGTGTGTGTCTGGCAGTGGGGGCGGTTGGTAGGACCCCAGAGATCCTATGTGGCTCATAAATAAGCGCCTGATTTGCACAATTTGCCTCCAGCGTTTTTTGGAGCAGGTTGCAGGACGATGACAAAGTATTTTATTCACGTAGAGTATTGATTTGAGACCAAAGCAGGACGCTTGCACCGTAGGTATGAATAAATGAATGTAAAATGCTATCACAAGGCTTTCAAGCTGCATTACCTGGAACCTGATTACTGTCAGTTTATTGTAGAGAAAATGATAGTGTTGCTTTGGGATTTCTTTCAGCCTCTCCTGCTGGCTGAAGCTGTATGTGAGCTGTCCGTGGTGCTCAATGGAGGATCACTGAGTAGACAAGCAGAATCCAGATGAAACCCAGCATAGCACCACACCATTCAAAAGCTGAGCAGACTCCTTCTATAGGTTGCATTTCTACACAAACTCAGATCAACAATCCCCCCCCCCCACAACAGACTCCAGATCTGCGCTGATTGGTTTGGAAAATGCCAGCAGGATCCTCCTCCGACACCAACCAGAAAGCACGATTGGTTCCACATGCCAGTCTATAACACTATAGTCAGAGTTGGTATATATTTAGCAGGGCCGTCCCATTATCGAAATCTCAACGCCCCCACCACCACCACCACCACCTCCTCTCTCTGCTCTCCTCACACACCTCTTCCTCCCTCACTTTCAGGAAGAGCGTCATCAGTTCGTCAAGGGGGGAGCCTCTAGGGCGAGGCACTCTAATATTAAGAAGCCAGAAACTCTCCTTCATAAGGCTTCCTTTAAGATCGCAGACAAAAGAGAACAGCCCGACGCAGGATCATGTGAACAGAGTTGAGAAATCTCTAGAGGTATGCATTACAGATTGATAGTGAATCTGTTTTCGCTGCTTTATCTCCAAGAGAATGTACCCAGAGCAACACAGTGTAAGAAACATCTTACGGCTACGAAATTGTGCTCGTGCTCAAGCAGCCCCTGTTTTCATCCCTGTTGCACAGTGAACAAATTGCACATTTTTGCATCAAAAACTAGAGCCGAATGTTGTTAGGACACTCAAGGTTGCTCAGTGTAGAGAGGAGAGAGAGGCCTTTTTTTCCCTTTATTAGAAGCAGCTGAAGCACCTGAACTGACGTGTGTTCCTGTGCACAGATGCACACGCAAACGCGTGTTGGCAGGTTTTTATTCAGGATTGCCTCTTAGTGTCCTCGCACCAGATGGGAGTCAGCATGTGCATGTTGCATCTATGTGTGTTTGTGTGTGACCGTGTGCGTGTAGTGGTGGGGGTATTTCCCAAAACCCAAGCGTCAGAGCCCTCTTTTGTCCTCCTCTCTGTCTCCGATGGCTTCACAGTGGGGTGACAAACACTCTCCACAAATCTCATTAAAAAGTGAGATGGGGGAGGGCTTTCATGTCTAATGGATGTTCAGGAAAACATGCAGAAGTCCCATGTGTTTTATGATACATAGTGCATCACAAGGAAAGAGAAAGGAGAGGGAAAAAAAAAACTAAACCCACTAAACCCACACTTCCTTTGATGTAACATTGATTTCATTTCATGCTGTCACCACTTTGTGTTCACCTGATTTCATTAGCCACAGTGATGCGACACATCTGATAGAGTGGTCTCAAAACAGGGGGATAATACACAGAAGATAGAATCTCTATCTGCCTTCTTGTTGACCATTTAGAGTGGCCTGTGTGTGCCCGCCTCACTACAAGATCTGACCACAATGAATCCATTCTCAAACAGCCCCGACAAAAACATCGGATAAACAATCCCAGTCCTCAGAGCAGACCTCCTATTATCTCATGTTAAACCATTTGCCGTAATTGCCCCTATAAATGGCTCAACAGCCAGCCCCCTTTGTGTACCCAGCAATTTACTCATTAAGCTTAGAAATTGCTTTAAAATTGATGGTGATTTGTTCTCATCTAAAGCAAAATACCTAACAATTGCTCCTCAATCAAAAAAAAAAGAAGAAAAAACACCAGCTTGTTTCATTCTCTGTTATTATCTTCCGGCCAGGACCTTTTGACAATAACTTGACGGCTCTCATTTGCATTAATCTGATGCTCGCGGTGCCGGGCTGCAGCGGTGGTAGAACACAGAGGCGCGGTGCCTTTAAGAGCTGAGCCTGCGAGAGCGCAGACACCTTGGGACAAGTGTGTGAGAGGAAAAAGGAGAGGGAGTAAACAAATGGGATAAAACACACATGACAGCCTGCCTCTAATGTTTGCCTCTGAAAGGGCATGGAAAAACATGCCGTGCTCCTATTAAAATAGCATTAATTCAAAGACTAACTAAAGCTAATATTTATTTGGGGCTGTGCTATTTTTCAGAGTGGAGAATGAATTAATTTTGATCGACGAGAGGTATGAAATCCACCACTGCTGAAAAACAAAAAAATGACAGTTAGATCCACACTTTTTTAGTTCACTGGCACCCTGTTCATGGAACATGTTCTGAAATAAATGTGTAACACAATCCCAGATATGTGCTGTTCCGTTC